TTGGGGGGGGGGTGTGTGTGTGTATGTGTCAGGGTTTTGGTAGCAGGGGAGGTGCTACAGGGGTGGCTTCTGTGAGAAGCTTCTCAAAGCTCCCCCAGCTTTGTCGGACCCATCTCTGGCCAAGACAATTAGTCGGACCCATCTCTGGCCAAGACAATTAGTGATGGGATGGTGGCTGTGTCTCTGTGATAACCTATGTAAACAGGAGAACCTGGGAGGAGGAGGGCTGAGGGAAATACCTCTGCAAACACCAAAGTCAGTGGATGGAAGGGGGGGCACAGGGAGAGGTGCAATGCAGCCGACACCCCCCCCTGTGGCCCACCGGCGAGAGGGCGGGCTGTGCCCCCATGGCCTGTGGAGGACCCCACACCAGAGCAGGTGCCTGCGCTCAAAGAAGGCCGGGACTCAGCGGGAAGCCCCTGCTGTTGTAGTTCGGCCCTGGGAGGATTGCAGCACGTGGGAGGGATTCATGCTGGAGCAGTTCGTGAATTGCTGCAACCTCTGGGAAGGACTCATGCCAGAGAAGGTTCGTGGAGGACTGTCTCCCATGAGAGGGACCCCATGGCGGAGCAGGGAGTGTGAGGAGTCCTCTCCTCTTGAGGAGGAAGGAGCAGCAGAAACAACTTGAGGGACTGACCACAACCCCCATTCTGTGCCCCCCTGTGCCAATGTGGGGAAGGAGGTAGAGAAATTGGGAGCAAAGCTGAGCCTGGGAAGAAGGGAGGGGTGGGGGGAAGGTGTTTTTAAGATGAGGTTGCATTTCTCACTGTCCTACTCTGATTGGTAAATTGGCAATGGTGTTCAAATTAAATGGATGTTCTTTCTTCTCGAGCCTGTCTTTTGCCTGTGACCATAATGGGTGAGTCAACCCTTCCTGTTCTTGTCTAGATACCCAAGCCTTCCCTTTCATTTTCTCCTCCCCATCCCTGAGGGGGAAGGAATGAGTGAGCAGCTGAGTGGTGCTTAGTTGCCCTCTGGGCTTAAAACATTACACTTTTTATCATGATTTGGTTTTGTTAAACTGACCACCACCACAAGTATTCCTCTTCTGGTTTATCTTCAGATTATTTCATCTCAGTATGTTCATATACATAACCTGAAATTCAAGTTTTAGGACCTCTTCTAAACTAATTGTATTGTTAACATCTTTTCAATGCTAGCCAACTAAGGACGGCATTGAGAGACAGCTGGGTTGACATTATTTATATTTACTCATTTCAAATTGAGAGGGGAGGGAATAATTACATTTATTATAACCAAGCCTGGAACTCTGCCTGTAATTAAGGACCTGACACATCTTAGAAGAACTCTATTTTGGAATGCTTAAGACATTTGTCAAACTATCAGTGTGGTCACAGATTTCATACAGCAAGTGTTTTTCTACTATTTTACTTAGAAGTGAAAAACAGATTCTGTTGAAATGATGCTGTCATGCCTGAATAGGACTAGAAAAAATAGCTTGTGAAGTCCATATTAAAATACTTTTTCAAAGTATTCTGTTGACAAATTCTAAAACTGGAAGAAGCTGAATTTAAGATGTGGCAGACAGGCTGCCTCATACCAAGGGTGTGGCTTTTGGTTGGTTTGCGGCTAGCTCTTTTTTTCTTTTGGGGAAGTGGAAGGGAATAGAGGGAGGATTGCTCATTTTCTTGACAAAGTACCAATATTATAGGCCTCTGAAAATTTCAGAGGACGTTGTTAGTTTGGAAACGCAACCTCTCACAGACCAGCAGCACTGGACATGCTCTACAGTCTCCAAGACATTGGATTGTTGTACATGCTGCTTCCATAGACAGGTAAAAATGTGCTCAGCTTCTTTATGAATGAGCTGAGGTGAACTTACCTTCATTTCCTCCTCCAGCAGCCAAGCACCTACTCTGTTACAACTGGAACTAAAAGCACGACTCTCTCCTAAGCTCCTTGCTCTTGCCAAAATAGGAAGAAGCCAAAATACTAAGAATGGTCATATGTGAAAAGCAGAAGACAGAACACAGGCCAGTGGAGAAAGCAGCAGTGGTGCCACTGCTCAGAGAAGCAGACAAAAACAAAGGAGGTCAAAACCAAATGAGATCAAAAGTTAGGGAGAGAGAAGATGCAGCTGAAACAGAGAAAAGAGAATTGGAAATGCCTGTAGTCTCCAATAAAGATCAACTTTGCTTTGTAAAAGCTTTTTTTTTTTTTGTTCACCCTCTAGGTACCTGGCATTTATTCTATGATTCTGGTCACAATGTTGTGCTTAGGAAAAAAAAATTATTGCAGTAAGAAATAGTATGAAATAAACTACTAGGTTCAAAGCATATAGCAAGAGATTTTTTTTAATGACATCTTGTTTTCAATATATAAAGTTTTGGGCTTGGGGACGGTGGGGACCTGTCTCT